TATAACATGGACAATAACATGGATAAACAGTGGTCAAATGATATCATCTGTCCCAGATGGGATGATAAATATCTTGCCCAGTTTTTAAGAACTTTGCCTCTTTAACAATGTTTTTTTTTTTTTTTTACTATAACTAAAACTATAACAAACTACAGACAGAATCCAAAAATGGACTCTGACTTTACCTTAATTTAAGTTGTTATAAATATGAATATGAGTGCATGAACATGTATGCACATGTCTAATAGTCCCATTGGATATAGGCACTGTGTATTGTCCACTCTGCTCTAAGAGAAGCTCTCTCTTGGTTTTTCGCTCTGCCGATTTGGAGGTGAAAAGATAGGCCTTTCCCATAAGCTGAGCAAGTGTATTTTATACAATACTTTTTAATAATGCACTGTGTCAAAACCGCATATTATGTTTTCAGATTCACACCAAAATGCATGCCTAAAACAAGATTGGTCGAAACATGAGTGCACCTAAAATCCTTTTAGATATATTGCAATCCGTTACAGAAAAACAACACATCAACACCATGTATCAGTATCCATTAATTGACCAGTGTTTCTAACACCATTTACCGATTCATTTGAACTTCTTCATGTAAATAACGACAGACTAACTCAATTACTGTTGACCATGCAATAAATCATATTTTCCCGCGATTCAATTCAGGAAGAAATTCGGTATAGTTTACACATTGAAATGTATGTATATAACAAATTCAAACTGAATCATAATCAAATATATATATATTGGATTATAATTCAGTTTTAATTTGTTTACATTGACAGTGAATGATAGACAATATTTTTGTTTGGTAACTATTGGGTTAACTGTTGAGCAGGAAAGTTTCCTCAATAAACTTGTCCAGGGCTACTGCACGCGCGGCTTAATCTCAGGCACCGCTACACCTCAGAGAGAGACCCAGCCATACTAATAATGAACAACCATAGCACAAAGACATCTATATTAACCTGGAATTCGAATAGTTTGTCAAATATTTCAAATGTGAGCTATCAAATACAATTAATTTGTTTACCATGTCCAGTATAGTTTTCATTGACACTGTCGATAAGAAAAGTGCATTAGGCCAACAAGCTATCTCACAATTTGTGTCCTTAAGACTGCATTGATATAAATTGCATAGGTACATTTGATTATATTTGTTATATTTTCTGGAGGATCTTTGCATCGCAAGACAATTATGAATTGTACATTATCAAGGCAATGGTGGTGCAGTATATTTACCCCATTTTCTCAACGCAGAGAGCGATTTGTATAAGAAATAGTCTTACAAGATATTAGACTACCAGAACAGTGTTTCTGCGAAGCTCATGCGCATGCTCAGGGCCAAATATTATGAGCATGCAACAGTCTACCGAAAATGATTTCCTCGCTGAAGCTACATGAGCTAAAAAAGAATCACCTTGGTAAATATAACACTTAAATAAGGCATAGCAAGCAATACATAAGTTAATTACACATTCAAATTGGGACATTACACTGTCGGCGGTTGATTAGTGAAAAAAAATATGATGTAGGCTGCATTCATGGAGATATTTTAGCATATCAATTTGTCTGCAAGCAATCAAACGAAAGCAAAATATGTCCATGCATGACAATTTTTACATTTAACAGAAGTGTTTAGCTACACCAATGCAAACGATGAGACGATAATAAATAGTGTGTATTGTGATAGCAATTTAAATATATATATATATATATATATATATATATATATATATATATATATATATATATATATATATATATATATATAAAGTGTCTAAGGCCTAATAATAAGATGCTATCATGTTTCATTCAAATCAAACCCCGTTAAAGAAAAAAATATACAGTAAGTACTGAACCAGTGTCGACAAACAAAATATACTGAGGGCAAAAGACATAGGCCTAACATTTCAGTATCAGGACCTAATCTGTTAAAATTTCAACAGACACAAGTTTTGTTATTTAAAAAAATACTCCTCCTAATTAAATTTGTACAGAGGCAAATGTAGTAGGCTACGTTTACAGTCTTATTCAACAAACCTCGAAATGTTTGAGTAGATAGCAACAACAGCAAAAAGTGTGTAATCTTGTCGACGCATCTGAGAGGCCTACGCTTTGATAATTCTAAAAGGAGTGTCGGAAGTGGGGAATTTTTTCCCCACAATATCCTGGTACTAAATCCAGTAATCCCTCTGTATGTGATCTTCAGTTTGTTACATCAACATGGCAAAATTGGATAACTTAACTTTGTTTCATCTTGTTTATAGTACAACCAGTTGGGTCACGAAATGTGTCGTTGGAAACTCAATAGGATATAGTATTTTCCAATTAAAGACAAATTAAATATAAATAAACTAACGTTTTATGTGGTTCTCGGCAAAGTTGTAGATAATGCTCGCATCTGGATCAATGTATTCGTCTGAAATTCAAGAACATTAGGCCTATAGGTCGTTTCTGCATCACATTATGTGTTTGGCTCTCCGCGAGCAACAGTTGCTTTCGATTATTTGGTGAAGACAGTAACCTGTAACAACACACGAGGCCCTTTCTGATGCCAAAGGTCGGTGAACAACTCTCGCCATAGTCTACACTCCAAGACTCTCCTAATATTGCGGAGAACTTGGTGTCTAATCTAATTGAGCGTTCCGTTGTAGAGACAACAGTGCACGTGCTTCTCATCGTTAATCATTTTATAGTAACACCATCACTGTGAACATACCATATATAATAACCTCACCGAGTCCTTTCGTTTCAACAAGCCAATAAAATATCGAAGAGGAAAAGTTAAGAAAACTTAACTGCCTGTCACTTGTGAAAGTTCACAAAGGTCGCCATAAATCTCAAGCTCTAAGGCTGCAAGGCTATTCACAGTTAACTCATGTTCCCCCTCTCTTTCACACACGGTGTGTGTGTGTGTGTGTGAGAGAGAGAGAGAGAGAGAGAGAGAGAGAGAGAGAGAGAGAGAGAGAGAGGGAGGGGGCGAAAGAGTGAAGAGAGAGTAAAAGAGGGTTTGTGTGTGTGTGAGTGTGTGTGAGAGAGAGAACGAGTGGGGAGGGAGGGATGTAGGGGGGGGGGGGGGGGGGGGGGGGGAGAGCGCGCGCGGTAGGGAGAAAAATGAGGGAGCGGGAATCATACAGTTTTTCGTTAAAAAAAATCAGTTGTTGCGTTTAGGAACGCAGCTGAGATCTATCTGCTCTAAAAGAAGCACAAACGTTTAATTTTGATGAAAAAAAGATGACTGCTAGGCGTTAAACAAGGTACCACAAGAAACAACTAAAGTTCTGAATATCATAAACATGTGTCCGGAGCTGACTTAAAAAAAAAAAAGCCTTTAAGCACAGATTTACACACCTCCACAGAACCCTACTTACAATTACTCCACGGTTGCTTTCCTTCAAAAGAAAAGTAACCTTGAGAATTTAAATATTGTATAAATATGAAAACTCACCTTACAATTTAAAACACTTTTTCTCGAAGAGGAATATGTTGTGGGAATGGTTGCGGAGTGGATAAGGCCAAAAGCAGAATGAAGGACTGATTTGAAGATTTTTCTCTTTTTCTTTTTTCAGATGTCTAAAATAAAGAATGTGAACTCCTTCCTGGGACAGATTGAGGGGTAAGGGATGTGAAAGGATTGGAGATATAAAGCGCCGCTTGAAGCACTCAACGCGTCTCTGAACTTGATCAGATTTTATGTGTCCTGCAGCGTCAGAGGCTACCCTGTGAAATTCGCTCAATGGCACGAATTTTTGGCTAAGCAAAAAATCTCAGGATATTACAATTACTGCCATCTTTCTTTATGTCTTTTATTCCTGCGTCTTACACCCTATAGAGCTTTGCAAAAAAAAGACCCCCTCCCTTCTCAAGCGGCTTCAAGAAAGCCACATTTCGGATCTCTGCCAACTGCATTCATGTCCTCAGATAATAAGAGTCAAAATACTCAAATAAGATAGATAGATAGATAGATAGATAGATAGATAGATAGATAGATAGATAGATAGATAGATAGATAGATAGATAGATAGATAGATAGATAGATAGATAGATAGATAGATAGATAGATAGATAGATAGATAGATGTTGTAAACAGGAATTATTTACTGTTATTACACGTGTATTTTGAAATACACTATTCCCGAAACATGTAAACGTTACAAATGTATGCCCCCACCAAAATGCACCAAATAAAATGTTATATTTTTGCCCAATGCATAGAAGATTAATTGTGATTGTTGGTTAAACAGCATGCTCGTGTATGACTGAATTATTTGACATGTAAACCATAGGCTGAAATTTAAATAATGATTATTTTTTCTAAAGTTGTATCAGATAAACACATTTTCAGTAACTTTGTTAGGACAATCTACAATAAACATTTGCTATGACTATTGTCCTCTGGGTATTTACAGCTTATAATGGTGTTTATTCGACTTCTGCCACAGTTTATGCATTATAACACGGGAAATAAACAAGGGTCATGGTATTGAAGCGACAGAGTGCTTGCTCTGTTACCTTACCTGCAAAATAATGCCTGCACTAACCAATCAAATTAAACCATTGAGACGAACTGCCATTTTCAATACCAACCCGTGCCAATCAACAGACATCTAGCCAATTAACTTCCCTTCTTTGGCGTCACGTGCCAAATGGGTAGCTGAGCTCTCATTGGGCGTCGTAGCACTGCCTCCAGAGTTCATTTATGTGCAGGGAGTGAGTGATTGACTTTATCAGTCCAAGGACATCATTCGTCTGGAAAGGGGGGGAAGTTTGATCCTCTTTCTCACGGATCCCAGTCACGGGAGTTTTTCTCTCTGCTGTGTAAGCGAAGGATTGTTTTTTTGTTGTTTTGTTTTTCTACTTTTAAATTCTTCTTTGCCGTTTCAACGCACTGAAATCGGGTTCCCGTTATTCGAGGTTAGAGTGAGCTCTACTAACCTGGAGTTTCAGTTTAATTTAATTTAATTTCGTTATAAATTCGCTTGAGCCCAATGACTATGCTCCTTGACAGCGGTCCGCAGTTCCCATCGCTAGGAGTGGGGGGTTTCGGAACACCGCGACACCATGAGATAGGGAACAGAGACCCAGGTTTGGGACTCAATCCCTTCGCTGATTCATCCCACTCTGCAGCTTTCAAACTCAGCCCGGTGGCTCACGATATAGCCTCCAGTCAGACTTCAGCTTTTACCCCGCAAGCCAGTGGATATGCAGCTGCCCTGGGACACCATCACGGCGGACAGGTGGGTTCGTACGGCGGTGGACCGTTCAATTCAACCCGGGACTTTCTATTCAGAAACCGTGGCGTTGGAGAGTCCGCTGCATCGAGTGCCCAGCATGGGATCTTTGCCGCTTCTGCGGGGAGCCTGCATGGACCCCCTGGAATCTCCGATAACCCAGGACATCTGTTGTTTTCAGGGCTCCATGACCAGGGCGTGAGCCATACTTCACCAAGCGGACATGTAGTCAACAGTCAAATGCATCTTGGTTTACGCGGGGACATTTTTGGAAGACCCGACCCATACCGTCCGGTCGCCAGCCCTCGGACAGACCCCTATGGCGCTCAGCTCCACAACTACAACCACCCAATGGGAATGAATATGGGGATGAATGTGCCAACACACCACGGTCCTGGGGCCTTCTTTAGATACATGAGGCAACCCATAAAGCAAGAAATGTCCTGTAAATGGATAGATGAGAACCAGATGAACCGACCCAAAAAGACTTGCGAAAGGACTTTCAGCACAATGCACGAGATGGTGACGCACGTCTCCATGGAACACGTTGGCGGCCCCGAGCAAAGTAACCACATTTGCTTCTGGGAGGATTGCCCGAGAGAGGGGAAATCTTTTAAGGCCAAGTACAAACTCGTGAACCACATTCGAGTGCACACTGGAGAGAAACCATTCCCCTGTCCATTCCCTGGTTGTGGAAAAATATTCGCCAGGTCGGAAAATTTGAAAATTCACAAAAGAACACACACAGGTAATTTACTTTTCTCATGTTTGCTGACAAAAAGCCACACGTTTACGTTGCCTATCCATATACCACTATTTTCGTTTTGCAGTAGGCCTATTGCATTGGAAAGAGAATAGGCATATTGTGGAGAGATTGTTGCATTTTATAGCTTAATGCAAGAGTGAAGGCCGCAATTTGGTTTCTAGTTTAGACTGGGATAGATAACAAATATGTTGGAACGAAAATATCCATAATATTATTTTATGCAATGAAGATTGCATTTGTTGAAGGAATTGATAGCCTCATTTAGGCCTATCTCAATATATATTAAATGTGCATATTTTGACGTTGGCATGTGTGGACATATTTCTCTATTAGAGAAGCTATTCTGCACGCTCTCGAGGTGTTGATCGAGTTGTGTGTGTATTAAGAGAGAGACGGACACATACTTTCTCAAAACTAAAGTGTGAGTGAAGTAGCCTAACTACATTAGGATGGACTCCCTTTTTTTGCTGGGCTATAGGCTACTCCATCCTACAAATCAGTGCAGCAGTTGGGTAGTAGCATTGTAGCCTAGGCAAACACACTTCGACAAAGCATACAACCATTGTCTAATATCAAAGTACATACTACATCAAACCCTACAATAGCATTCACTGCACGTTGTTGTGTAGCTTAACAAATGTAGGCCTGTATTGAACACATGCATGCTATTGCTATTCACAGGGCAGACTTCATCAATGGTGAACAAGCCAGCAGAACATCTCTCCTCAAGAGCATGTTGAGTTTGCATATGTCGTGGTGGTAGGCTAATCAATCTACTGTGTATAGGGGTTAATTCATTGTGTTTCTTCCATCTTGCAGGTGAGAAGCCGTTTAAGTGCGAATTTGACGGCTGTGATAGACGCTTCGCCAACAGCAGTGACAGGAAAAAGCACATGCACGTGCACACTTCTGACAAGCCATACATCTGCAAAGTGTGCGACAAGTCCTACACGCACCCCAGCTCTCTCAGGAAACACATGAAGGTAATTAACGTGTTAATTACACCTTAAACACATTAATCAATTGACCCAGCCTGGCTAATCAAAGCATCAGCCCCAAAACAGCATCATACTCAGCTGAAAGTTTTCACTGCTATTTCACTAGGTTGGAGTGTAGTATAATGTTAATTTCCCAAATATTACTACTTACTAGGAGGCTAAGTTTGATAAGCAAATTACGCTGCAAGCCTGCAATATAATAGCAATTTGATAGATCAAAGGGTCAATTGTAAATAGCTTGTGTTGAGTGTGTATCAGTGGGTAACATATTCAACGTTCTTCTCCAAGCTATAGGCCTATATATATATATATATAATATATCAATATATCATAGGTAACTCCTCATGTATTTATTATTATTATTATTATTATTATTATTATTATTATTATTATTACAGGTACACGAGTCTCAAGGTTCTGAGTCCTCTCCAGCAGCAAGTTCTGGATATGAGTCGTCCACACCACCAGTTCTGGTGTCAGCGAACACTGAAGACCCAACAAAAACACCACCGTCAGCCGTGCAAAACACATCTGGGCACAGCGATGCAGGACTGCCACCCAACTTTAATGAATGGTACGTTTGAAGTCAGAAGCAAGCTCTCATGTGGACCAAGAGGTTTTAGGTTTTAACGAAACCTTAAAAAGTACTCACACCAAGGTGTACACAAAATGGGATTGGAACAACACGAGGAGATGAGAGCAAGCCAGTAGCAGGCCTCGTCCTTTCTCAGGATTCGAAATTTGACTTTTATTCCGAGTTCGAAGAAAACAAATAAATCATAAATAATGAAATAATACTTTCTAAGAATAAAAAAAACATGTTTTTTTCCTTTTTTAGTTTACAGATTTCAGATAATTATTTTATTTTTCATTTTATGTATTTTCTCAAATTTTTATTTAAAAAATAAAGGAAAATTAAGAATATTTCACGGTGTTTTGTATAACGGTGACACACTACTGTCGCCTTTCAATTGATTGTTAAAACTTCAGACAGTCTTAAGAAACGTGCCAAAGTCTTTGTCTTGAACTTGAACAAAAAATAAATCATAAATAAATATATACTCGTGAATGTATTTCCTTGTTTGATGGGGTCGAATCTGTTGTCAATGTCTGTTTTCAGGTGGAGAAATGTGGTATTAGGTTACGATTGTTACCGTTAAATATAACGTTGCCTTTTGTTAATAACATTGTAAATACATATCCATGATGCCATATTTATCAATTTGTAATTTAATTATGGGTATAAGTTCTGAAACTTAAATGATATTTATGGAAATGTTTTCTAACAAGACTGTACAGTTTTGGGTCATAACCAGCTAGCATTAAACAACTATGATCAACTATAAAGCTCCAATATTGCGATTGTATCTTTTTTTTAACCAATACATGTGTCTTATTTGGATCTACGATATAGTCTATATAAATATTATGGATTAGTCTATATGATGCTGATTTTTCCATCACTTATTGTTTAGCTTGTGAGAGAGACCATTGACATGTCAATCATCTATTCTGTAAATCTGAATTGTAATCAATTGAGGTGGCAAACTATATAAAACGGTTCTGTCGATATCCTTTTGGTCAAATTAACTTTTTTGTGTATTTGACTTTTATAGAATCAGAGAGTAGAGTTCATTTGTAGCATAATTTCAGATTCGAAAGATCCATCAGCCATTGACAGATGTTATACCTAGTTCATTCATGACTTCCAAACCAAGGTGACAGTATTTTGAGTATTTCAAATTCGGGTCAAATACCCAAACATATGAGCCAGTATTGGCAGTCCTTTATAGTTCCAACAATGTCTATGTGCAAGTATGTTTAAATGTGTGCATCGGCAACAATGGAACTGTCACAACACAGTATCTTCAAAATAAAAGTTTTTTTGTCTGTCAGCTTGCATTGTTTTAAATGTAATTATTCTGTGTAACTAAGCGTGTTATTTGTTATAAGTACTGTGGTGTTGCATATAGAGCAGTTTGATTACACATTTGCTTGTTTTGTGTGAATAACCTGTCGAGAAAACATTTTTGTGTGAATTAAGTCTAAGGAATACTAATAGATATAGGCTATGTGGGTTGGGGAAAATATGTTCAGTGGCACAAAGAGTTACAGCATTTCATTGTAACCTATTTTCAAGAATTTAATCTTATGCATACCACAAAATATATTGTGCTTATGAGAACGATTTCAGACCACCAGCACTACTTTTAAAACAAAGTGTAAAAACAGTACCTCGTACGTGACAGTGATATATAAAATACGTTTATTTAAATAATTTAAGGAATATATGTTTTATATACTATTTTCTATACATTAATTTAAAATAAATACTTTTTTCTAATTCCCACAACCCTTATGCCCCCATGGCCTGAAGTCGGAGCACATTTCTGATGTAGAAACGCAGCTAGAATGTGATGTTGTAACACTTTCTGGGAGAAATGGGTCACACTCCAAGTTATTCCTGAAAAGCAAAATGTTTTACTGATGAACTGTGTCACTGTGCCACAATCGAGGCAAACGATGATACAACAGCAAGCCTATTCCTTATTTAGCGGGAAGAGACAAAGGTTCCTTGTACAACTTAAAGTAGGCTATCGTTCGTTGGATTGTTTGTTTTACCAACTATTTATGAAGAAATGTGAAAATAAATTTTTGACTGAAATTAAAAAATTATGAAAACTAACGAACTGCGACGTTTATCATTCTTTGTCATTGTTGTATTAGCCTATACTCTCTGCTAAGATCATACAGAAATTACATTTGTCTTTGAGAGTCGGCACTTCACTTGAACTTGACACTGAGGAAGGCGCCATTTTAGCATCTTGTTTCTGGGAAGATGGACTGGAAAAGTTATCGACTGTAGGCTACTTGGTGCTTTCTAGGAGGTGCGATTGGACAAAACATACGCCATGTGTGAATGAAAGTGCCACTTAAATGGGATCACAACGTGAGAACTAACAAACTAACAACTACTAAAAAGTAAGCCAAGAGAGTGAGGCAAATGAGGACATGAGTTAGCAGGAAAGTATCGTCATTCAGCCTATTAGGCTACTCAGGCTGCCAAAAGTAACCACTGAGCACCACGTCAGTCGTTTTACGCATGCGTGCTGAGTGCTGCTGCCAATGTATGGACAACTACAGCGGAAAATCGTTTTGAGAAACGTTGTTGTAGCCTATAATCGAGGAGTCTCATGAAATATTAATTGTATGTAGGCTACTCTACAAATATTAAATAATATCAATCTATTAAACTAAAATATAAGTGAATTAAAATAAGTCATAATGCTAAACAATTGATATGCATTAGCCTAGCAAAAACCCTTGAAAAAATATATGTTTACCAACTGGTCGCCTAATCCTCAGTAATCATGGGGGAGACATAGAAGCCTATCATGTTTGAATCATGATTTAACTTTACTCAGTGATGATTGTAGGCTATGATTGTAAATGAATGCTGTATAGCTATAAGACTTCATATTTACAACACAGTATTTTGGGACCTACCCCCACATACTCTACCCCCACTTCCAGCCCTGCCCTACCCCCATCTTCACATATAAACAGATTTAAGACTGTATTTAAATTCCGTTTACCCTCCTCTTGCACAAACGCGCTCTTGTATTTCACCAGGACATTTGTTTTCTTACCCATGCCAGGACATTTTTTTTCTTACCCATGCAGTTCAAGTTCTAGCGGACCCCATGACGTCAAAAAATGGGATAGGCTTTCCCTACGAGTGGCTCTGTGAAACAACGCTCACGAAAACTGAGCCACGCATTGATGATGGCATATCGGAAGAAAAGCCTAAATAATACATTATTCAGACGAATACAACCTAATACAAGCCGATAACTCCTAGCATAATCGTGTTTTGAGATGAGAAAACGAAGTGTAGGCCTATATCCACAAGAAAAACATGAAAGGCTCCTTTCTGAGGATTCTCAATGGGATTAGAAAGCACTGGCAGTCACGTGGTAGGAGATGTGTAGCGGTTGTCTGACAGTGGTGTTTGTGAATACAGTAGTAGGCTCTATGTATGTGAATAGCATTAATATGAAGTGTTCATTCATCTTGACATATGGACGGGAATATATTTGGAACTATAGAACAGCTTTGGCACCGCACAAAACAATCTATCCACGACTAGCGCTCACAGTCACAGATGTGCTCTCATCATATCTGGAGTAGCCTATAGTCATCTATACTCAAACCTATATCATCATCTATAATCAAACCTCTTCCCAACTGGCAAAGTCTGCACAAACTGTTACGGGTATAGTACGTTTACATGCATACTAATAATTCGATATTAAACTGATTATGGCAGAAGACCGAGTACGGCAATAGTCATGTATGGCAATAGTCACCTTACTTTGCTTATCTTAATAGGCGTAAAGTCAAAATCGAAGTAAGCATACGCCGATTAAAACACCTGGTTTTCTGAGCAATCTTTCGAATTATTAGATAATGTTCCAGCGGTGTAATTGATCTACGCATGTGCTAGCACCAGCCGAGCGAGCCTCCCTCTTTAGCGCGAGTGAAGTGAGTTCGAAACAACTGAATGTATGCGTTTTAGAAGTAGTTTTCACATACAAACTTTATATGTCAGAACTCAGCATCAAATATGCTTTCCAAAAATGACATGGTCACTGTGGTAGAATGTTTATTTTGATTGGCGATTTTCTGCATTTATCAGGTGGCCTGATTTCGGAAGTTCTTCTTGCAAAGCATGTAAACGTTTTAATCCAACTATTATATTAATCTGACTATCCACAATAATGGCATTATTGCGTGCATGTAACCGTTGGTGTTGGGGTCTCTGAGTGATACAATAACATAGTTCAAGTGGTCAAAAAGATAGGCCTGCTATGTAGGCTAGTTGGGCCAAATCTTAAACTGGTCTTTTTCTTAACTCAATTCAAATCTAAAATTACGCAAGGCACTCAAGGCCTATGTTTTCTTCTGACAAAATTAAATTTAACAAAAATAATAATGTAATTGGCCACTAAGTTGTAAATTATTGATTAGGCCTACTAAGCTCTTATTGAGTGATGCTGTGAACATGAATAAAAACCAGTAAGAGAGGCCCCTTCACAATAACACAACAAAATGTAGTGTTAAAACTTTGAATAGTCTGCCGTTTATAATAAAAATAAAATAAACTGTTCATATAGTTTCTTAAACTTCTCAAGTCAGTGGAATGACTTGATATCTTTGGACACTATTACGCACATGCGTAATTAGCTCCTTATAACCTCAGACGGGTTTAGTACTAGTTTTAAATGCTACGCATTGCAACAATCAAAGTAACACTTCATAATATCCTTAGCATTTGCATACAGACTAACAATCATCAGCGAATTACCTAACTATGCACGACCATCATTATAACCTGTTTATCAATTACCGATGCTTATTTCACCTGCAGATCGAAGCCTGTTGAATATGCATAGGTATTCACTGAGCACGGTAATCCAGGATGTGTGCCGTTAAATATTTTCTCGGACGTGTTACATGGCTTTTGTGATGGTAACGACGTGGCACAATGGCATTGTTATGTACTTCAATGATTCGTTGACTATTTAGAAATATTTAAATTTCCAATCTATTTAAGTTATCGGAAAACATTTAATTTGCAATGTTAAGTCAGTGCCTTTAGTAATGGGAAACTATTTGCATGTTACAAAACATGAATTAACTCGATACAGGTATTATTGAAAGCAAACTCTGTCACTTGAAATCATTCATAAACGATTCAGCACAACAAACACAACAACACTAGGTCTATACTTTCACACGCACATACAACCACATTTAAGATAGGCCTACATCAACGCTTGAAGTTCATGCAGATAAGATTTTGTTTGGACATTTTCAGATAATTTAGCTTGACAAGCTCCATATAAAACTGATAAACAAAATAAAGAAAAACCTCATTAAACGTTTTGTTGATCCTCTCATTGCTTCTCGTGTTAGGCCAACTGGACATAACACGTCATTATGCAATGGCACACAAAGATTTAAACTCAATAGCATAGTAGACTGTTCTCAAGATTCCAGCTCATGGTGTCATCATACTGTCATTAATTCAATATTTCAATTAAGCCCCAAAAGAATGTTTCCATTGCAAAACGGGCGCAAACGTATGATTATCAATTAGGTTGTCCAACAAGAGACAGTCTTAATTCCCGAACATCTGGGAGGGTGTCAGTGTCTTGATGACTTCCTCTTCCGCGCAGGCCTGGCAGTCACCGCTAACAAGTCCCCGGAGTGGAAGTTGACGTGCTCTACTCGGCAAAGCAGATGTTCAGCTATGTATATGGTGAAGTGCGTTTGTCTTTTGACAGATATATTTTCAACACTTGTGAGAGGTGTTAAGTGAGCAATTCACCATTTTTATACGTGCCATGCCATCGCCGAAAACCACTCCAAGCCGAATTACCCCCGTGCCCCCGTAACTCATCACCTGAAGACGTCTCTGGTGGGAGAGAGGCCAACTTTCTGCCTGGTCTCTCATATGATTTCAAATAGACAATGGTATTTATATTTAATTCTTGAATATGGTTATACACATCACACGTTTTTTTCTATGCATGAGCCTATACAATCAATAAGCCTAACAACAAGCTAAAGATAGCCTACAGGCCTAATCATTATGCCCTGTTGAAAATGCCATAACCGCATCTCCATCAATCTCCCATATCTTTACGCATGTGTCGGATCTTGCCAGTTTTCTTAAATTAATGTCGTGTATTTAATTGAGTTTAGCTCAGGTTGTAACGCAGGTCTGCTCTTTGCAAACATGATAGTTTTCAGCTGTTGTCTCAACCCGCATGGGACAAAGTTGTGTTTCAACAAAGTTTGCACCTGAAAGCCGCCCGTCTTTTGTAATTGGGCAGCAAGGATACCCCACTGTGGCAGTGTCCCGCCTGGGGGAATGGGTAACAGCAGATCTCTGCACTCCCGCCTACCTCAGCTTTTAAAAATGAATATCTAGGACAATGCTTGTTAATGTCTTTCATTTGAAACGGTGAATTGGAAGTGGGGGTTCCAAAGTCTTTCCATTAAGACCTGGAAATACTGCCAACGGCCCAACGTAACTTGCACGCGAGTTAGAGGATGTTTGAATGGGAAGATAAAAGTTAACAATTTGGGCAATGGAAACGTATGACATAGCTGTCAACATGCCTACTAGCGCGTGCCCACCAACGTTCCAGTTACACAATGTGGCGCGCCACATGATCAACGCAAATTCCCGCGGGGTTTTATGATTATGAACATGATGAGGCGGCACAATTCGCTCTCCACGAACTGACTAATGAGTTAACTCAATTTCAATTCACAAAATAATGAGCATATGAATCTACGAATATAATAATATTTTCACAGATTTATCCAAACTATGACACAGAATATCTAGGAATGTGAGAAATAACCACCGATCTAATACCATTTACATTTCTGTCATGGAGCTGTCAATCAGAGCAAAACTGTTTCAAGACAGCTGGAACTATGGTTGCATAATAGTTTCGTGCAATATGCTCAATAGTTTTTGCGCATTCCATACAGTTGCCCCCTGCATCTCCATCCGGTTAATCCAGTAGATGCGTATGTCTGCTCTTCTCGACAGCCTTTCCCCCCTGTACAATTCCTATCA